ATAAAAGGTGCCGGTATGCACCAAAGTGTCTAATAAAAGGAGCCGGTATGTACCAAAGTGTTTAATAAAAGGTGCCGGTATGCACCAAAGTGTTTAATAAAAGGTGCCGGTATGCACCAAAGGGTTTAATAAAAGGTGCCGGTATGCACCAAAGTGTTTAATAAAAGGTGCCGGTATGCACCAAAGTGTCTAATAAAAGGAGCCGGTATGCACCAAAGTGTTTAATAAAAGGTGCCGGTATGCACCAAAGTGTCTAATAAAAGGAGCCGGTATGCACCAAAGTGTTTAATAAAAGGTGCCGGTATGCACCAAAGTGTTTAATAAAAGGAGCCGGTATGCACCAAAGTGTCTAATAAAAGGAGCCGGTATGCACCAAAGTGTTTGATAAAAGGTGCCGGTATGCACCAAAGTGTCTAATAGAAGGTGCCGGTATGCACCAAAGTGTCTAATAAAAGGTTAAGGTATGCACCACCGTGTCTAAAAACAGGTGCCGGTATGCACCAAAGTGTCTAATAAAAGGTGCCGGTATGCACCGCAGTGTCTAATAAAAGGTGCCGGTATGCGACAATGTGTCTTATAAAAAGTGCCAGTATGCACCACACTGTCTAATAAAAGGTGTCAGTATGCACCAACGTGTCTAATAAAAGGTGCCAGTATGCACCAAAGTGTCTGATAAAAGGTGCCAGTATACACCAAAGTGTCTAATAAAAGGTGCCGGTATGCACCACATTATCTAATAAAAGGTGCCGGTATGCACTACAGTATCTAAAAAAAAGTTGCCGGTATGTATCACAAAGTGTCTTTTTTAATAACAGTGACAGTGCTGAGAAACTGCTGCCTTAAATAAAATTGCCGCTACTGTGAACTGTCAGAACAAATGTCTTTGGTTCACATTTTAGGATGAGAATTCCTTTTTATGTCAATGTAGCTCTTAAAATGGTGGTTGACACCTTTTATTGTGGGGCACAGCTCAGCAGCCATATCTGCACCTTTTGGCCGAAAACATCCAGTTTCAGCAAACCTTTTGTTAGTCGCCTATTACGACATGCTTGCGAACAGTCGGTATATTCTTGTTTTCTTTTTTTTCCCCTCTTAAAATGTATTCCTGGAATCCAAACTGGGGGAGAGAGACACCAACATCCACGAAGGGGTAGCTTGAGACACCAACATCCACGAAGGGGGAGCTTTAGGTTATAATTTTGACTAGGTTATGTAAAAAAAAAAAAAAAGGGGGGGGATCCCTTTCCACGCCTTTAGGCGTATACGGCATATAGGTAAAACTAAGTAAAGTAAAGATCCCTTGTCACTCCTTTAGGCGTATCGGGCATATGGGAAGAGCGTCCATATTTTACAGACCATTCGGCACTGATGAATAATGTGGTCAGCATTACGCTGGCCGTCTTTACTTTCCCCAGGACAGCCCATCCTAGTACCCATTTTAGGCTGGGTCGACCTGCGACGCCCCATGCCATGATAAAAATCCACGCAGTACGCCATATAGGGTTAGACCTATATTTTGTAGACCAATCAGAACAGGATAGGTGGTGTGGTCAGCATCACGCCGGCCGCCTCTACTTCCCAGGACTGCACCAGGTACCCACTCAAGGCTGGGTCGATCTGGAAACCAAGGTCAATTTTGAAAAAAAGTCTGGCTCCGCCAGGAAGCGAACTCACGACCTTCCGATCCTCGGCTAGCATCTAGCCGCTCCGCCACGACGACTCGAGACTAGGGTAATGTGCGCTATATAAAATGGCATAGCATTGCGCGCCACAAGGAAAGGAGATAGTTTCGTCGAGCCAGCTACTGAGTTTAGTGCATGGCGCAACCCTGTGAGCTGCGGATTTCATTTGGAATGTTTTTCGTCTGCGACCAACGTGGTGTTGTGAACTGTAGATTCAGAAAATTGTGCGTGGCCGGTCGCCGCAATATTGGTTGTGCCCTTATGTGATTAATATTGATCGCGTGTGCAACTGCTGATCTGTTGGTAACTTCTGCTACCGTCGATGATGAACTGCATTTCTAATGTCGGACTGTTTGTGTTAGCACTTTCGATGGCTGCCGTATGCTTTTAATGCGAGTGTATGTTAGTGCATATGCTGAGACAACAGTCTGTCAATCTTTCCACAAGGGACTGGGATAAACATTCTGTGTGTTTTTCGTTGGCACAGGAGCGGAGCAACTATGGGGTGACTAGTTTGCTATGAAGCTGAAAATTTGATTACCAAGATTACCAAAGGACTTCTGCAGTTTCAGAGGAGTCAGACCCAAATACTTTCCCGACACAGCACCGGTCGTCGATGCAGTAAGCACCGCTGCCTGTATGTTTATATAATAGCACAATACAGACGTAATCATGTGATTTATTACATCACGTGAGACAACGCCATGTGACTTGCATCATGTGACTGATAATGTGTGACAGCTATGGCATGATATAAATAAATCCAAACCAAAAGTAGAGTCAGTCAGCTTGACAATATCGCAAACCACTGCCTTCTCCATACAAAGCTGGAGCATGGCCAGGCCTAAACACGCACACAACCAGTGGACGTTGCGGCTAGAGAGGCTTCATCAGCACGAAACATAAATATACACAATAAATACCACAAATGTAAATAAGAATACAGAAAATCGCTTAATTAAATTATTAAAACGGTCAACATACGACAACTTTTTCCTTCGTTCCAGGGCGTCATTGTAGAGAGAGAGAGAGAGAGAGAGAGAGAGAGAGAGAGAGAGAGAGAGAGAGAGAGAGAGAGAGAGAAGGGGGGAATAGACCTACTTCTTCCCTAACTAGCCTGTTGGTAAGAGTAGACTAATTAGTGATCTTGCGTTCCTATCGGGTTGCATTTTCCTGAGATGCAAGGAATTAACTGTCCGCATAGACATAAGGTCGGTATAACAGGCGTGAGTGTAAAACTGTAGTTCCAGAACAATCGTAAAATCCAGAAATAGACGAACAAACTTAACTTTCTGCTCAACATACCTCCTTAAGTAGGGGCAATTTGTCATTACAGTGGAACCTCGCTTAACGAGCATAATTCGTTCCAGAATCATACTCGTTAAGCAAAACACTCGTTATGCGAAACAATTTTTCTCATATAAATTAATGTAAAATACGATAATGCGTTCCATGTCGAAAAAAAATACTCACAAAATTCTATGTATAAAGTTTATTCAAAGAAAATGATATACATATTGTTAAGGAGAGTGAATCATCTTTATCTTTTCTTCAAACGCGGAACAAACCCACCTGGAATGCGAATTCGATTTGCGGAAAAAAGGTCGAAATAATTATGATACATAGCTAATTATTCTTTTACTTGAAAGATGACCAGAGACATTTGTTTTTGCCGACGCTTCAAAATTTAGCGAAAATGCGACACAGCAATATTATTAAATACATTTGCAGCTAGCATCGCCACTTCCTTATTAGAGTGATGCTTCTTAATGTAAAATGCAACAGTTTCTCATGCTTTATGCATTTCTCTTATTTCGCCAGAAGATTGTTGCTTTTCTGTTACCTCCTCTTATTTCCAAAACTTCTTGCTGTGAAACACAATGCAACTCCATAGGTTCTTCGGTGGTCAGCTCTTGGCTGTGCTCTTCCACAAGTTCTTCGATATCACTGTTATCCACCTACAATCCCATGATAGTGGCCAAAGACACAATCTCGTTAACTACAGGTTCCACAGGTTCTGTCGCGAACCCCTCAAAGTCACAAATCGACAACGCTCTCTGGCCAAAGCTTCTTCCAAGCAGAAGTAAGGGTTCTCTTGGTAACCCCTTCCCCCGCCTTGTCGATCATCTTGAGGCAGGCAACGATGTGGAAGTAATTTTTCTAAAACTCTTTGAGAGTGAGGCTAGTCCCTTTAGTCACCTGAAAACGATGTTCGAAGAGTGCTTTAGTGTAGAGCTTCTTAAAGTTAGAAATAACTTGCTGGTCCATGGGGTTGGAGTAACGGAGTGGTGTTGGGAGGCAGAAGCTGGATCTTGATGAACTTAAATTTTTCAGGGAGGTCATCTTGTAGGCCTGGAGAAGGATTCATGCACATATATCACAATAAAACATATGTTTGAGAAAATGTATGATCACAAGCGACAATGCTACTGGAACAAGTGCTAAACACAAACTGATATAACATGCGCACAATCCGGGACTTCCCCACTCCTTGCCACTCGTTATGCGAAACGTCGCTCGTTAAGCGAGTCTTTCTTTTACAATTTGATTTGCTCGTTATGCGAATTACTCGATATGAGAGGTGCTCGTTAAGCTTGGTTCTACTGTATTTGAAGCCCCATCCTAGCTGTTGCCGGTCCCCCTAATATAACCCAACCAATGACTTCAACGGAGTTTCCGGGACCTGTCCCCTTTTGATCCTCATCTGAAGCTAGTGTGTATATGGGTAGTCTGTAGGGAGACCAACGTTAGTTTTACCGTCCTCTGTAGTAGTGCTTCAGTCAAGTTATTAATTAACAAACGCACCGGGCGGCGTTTTGGTGACACATAATGGCACTGTCCAAACTCTTCGACAGAATGAAATAATACACATAAAAACAAATGGTTAAAGTAACGTTTGTCTCCCCACGACCCTCCCATATACACACTAGCTCACTTCTGATTGGTAGTTCCTGACCCTGTCACCTCGGCACAAGTGTATGTGGTGGTCCGCAATGACGTTGATATCGCATGTTGTATATTTCCGCACGCTAGCGCTTTTAACACTTTAAACACATGAGGGTGCTGAAACCTATGTCACATGCATTCTCTTTCTAGGAATGAAAATGTAAATGCAAGACAACACAGAAAGCAAACAACAGAGCGGGACACACCCGTAACCTTCGGGGAAGTAGAGCAGCCCAACAAACTTGTGAATGAAAAGTGACCTATTTTGTTTGGGGAGATTAACGTGAACCTAACCAAACAAACAACAGTCCCGGACACAACAATTACATGACCGACAACATCCAGTGATCCACGATATGGACACACACTTACCAGCTAAATTTGGCATCTGTGTCATGTTGTATCGCATATCCTTGCACATTTTGATTGTGATAGGCTCGCACCGCGGGTATGGCCCATCCAGCCGCAGTGATCTGGCAGGGCTAGAGCTACCAACAAGCAGAACTAACATAATCACAGTCAGCGGCTCCACGCTTCTCACCATACGCGTTGTGGTTGAGGTTGCCGTGGTGAAAATCATTCTGATGATGATGTCAACGTTGCTAATTAGGCAGCTGGGCCTTACGATGATAATCCAGCTAATGATCGATGTCTGCAGGTGTGATATTTGCAGAAGTGATATTTAAAGAGGTGAAACTTATATAAAATATAATTAAACAAACCAGTGTTTCCATTCTCGAAAGGAGAAATACTGTTTTTATGTCTAAAATATGCCCTCTTGTTTCTTTTTTAGCATGAAATAGTATTCACTCAAGCAAAACAATCCATCACCGATCTCCTTTTTAAGAAGAATTAATACCCATACAATCGTAAAATGTATCATCTCTCTTTGTATGTAACCAAAAATACTTTCTAATTAAGTAAATAAAACATATCACACATCTCCTTTTAAATGAAAAATACTTTCCAAACTAACATGAAATGTATTTTATCTTTTTTACCTCGAAGACTCGACTAGTAATACCGGTAACCTAAAAACTAGATGCCCATAAATTCGAAACAATAAATGCGAAGACGTAATTAGATTCATTTTCATCAAATGACCAATTTCCTAAGAAAGCAGCACAGCGAATTGACAAATCCGACCATTCCCAATGATTTATTGTCCCCTTGGATTAAAATCCCGCGTCTGAAGTTGTTAACATGGTACAAAGACGCCACTTGTGTCGCCGATAAAAGCTGGAGTACTCAGCGACAGATCTGCAGATGTAAACAAACAGCAATAGACGATCTGGAATGACATATGAGATTGTAGGCGAAGGGTGATCAGAGCTGTAGAAGGGTTGTGCTGAGGTATGCCTTGGAGTGGTTATCTCTTGGCTGTAGTGAAATGATACAAGGCTGTTGTTGGCCGTCACTTGTGGATTTCCGCTGTTGCTGAAAGAAAGAATAATAAATTTTGTTGTAAATAATGTTTAATTCTGTTTTAAACAGTGTTAACTAAAAGAAATAAAATATAAACAAGAACCTTTTTCACGCATTTAGGAGTATTGAGCTTGAAGACCTATTTTTTAATAAATCAATCGACACTCGGCTCGTCATAAAGTCAACATCAAGCCGGTCGCCTTTACTTTCCAATATTTTAACGGGTTCCCATTTAAAGCTGTGACGACATGAGACCAGCCAATGAATATTTTGTTTTCTCTGAATCCGGGTCACTTCAGATTTTAACCCACATCCTTCGGATTCACAGGCGAGCGTCTAGCAGCATATTTTTGTGATATGGTGCGCCAGGGCAGAATGGCAAGAAGTGTAGCAGATGAAGGAGGGGCAGGGGTTAACCGGTATGAAGATGGACACATGAGATTGTCTGAAAGTAGGTTTCAGGTTCAAACAACGGATCAACATCATGGCACAAGCGTATTAACTAGGGCTGTACCGAATATTCGCTTCGTATTCGTTTTGGGGTCGAATAGTGGACCTAATAACTATTCGGTATTCAGCCGAATACTTGCGGTCGGGCCAAATACGAATAGCGGTTACATTATACCCGTTTCGCAAACACTTGTATTTAAAGGCAATGAGTTCTTGTTGTTGTTGTTGCTTGTGTGTATGTGTGTGTGAGTGTGTGTCTGTTGTGTGTGTGTGTGTGTGTGTGTGTGTGTGTGTGTGTGAGAGAGAGAGAGAGAGAGAGAGAGAGAGAGAGAGAGAGAGAGAGAGAGAGAGATCATGCATTTTTTGTTCTTTCATGGTGTCTGCGCCTAAATCAAATTTGAAGATTTTGTTAACGAGCGAACGATGGTTTTGAAAGTGGCGGGAGTCCCAAGACAACTAATCACAGACATCTGAAGGAGACAGTCGTTATTTTTCGGCCATGTTTTGAGAAGAGGGAAAGTGGAACATGTGGTGACCACTGGAAAGATCCGTGGAAGGAGGGACAGAGGAAGACAACGACAGAAGATGCTTGACATCTTGTTGCACGGCCTGGAGGTGTGTCGGCAAACTGATACATGCTGCAGGAGATTGCAGATTGTGGAGAGGAATGATCGCCCACGCCAGTCGGCAAGGCACATGATGATGATACACTATTCTTATTCGGCCGAATAGTTGGTCCTACTATTCGTATTCGGCCTAATAGTGAAAATCACTATTCGGTACAGCCCTAGTATTAACCCATAAGTGATTTCGTTTTACTTCTAACTCAAGTCTTAATATGAGTCAGAAGAATCTCAACGTAGTGCACGAACTCCGTAGCACCGGCGAGGATCCTGATATACGTGACACCTTGTGTACAAAGATGTACTCGAAGAGCTGGGGAAAGACGAGAAAAAAAAAGGTGAGTGCAAAAAAAACCAGATGTGAAAAACGCATGTGCACAAAAAAAAAAAAAAAAACTAGTTTTGGAACAAGGAATCAAAATTCAGAAGTGGACGAACAACCAGAATATCCCGCTGGAGTTTATAGCCGGTGAATGCAAAGAAATAAACATAGTGGCGATGGTATCTCTCTGCCCTCTGTTATATGAGCGATACTCTCCGTTGCTGTTGTCTCCGACCTTTATGACGTTTAAGTATGGCCGAAGTATTTCAGTTCACAAGAAATGATTTTATTTAATGGTCGGTTCCACTCCATGTAAAAATCGTAGAGATGTTAATATTACAGAAGACAATAGATATGCTACACAAGACAAGACATATACGATACACAAGCAATAGATCATCACCATCATCATCATCAAGTGCCTTGCCAACTGACGCATGCGTTCACGCATCTCCACAGATCTTGGTCTTTGGTGTGCTGGATGAATTCCACTGCTGATACTACTGCATGTCACCTTGTCTTAAGCTATCCACCATCATTTCTCTTAGTCTGCCTCTGCCTCTTCTTCCAGTGATCTCAACCAGCATACACACACACAACGACACACATATAAACATATAGTAAAACCTCAATATCATGAATTCCAAGGTATAAACAACTAAGACTTCGTGTTACAAATTTCTTGTTAACCGGGGACTGATTTAATACATTCCTTTGGATGCAGACCTTTTTTTTTTTTGTCTTAACAGGGGTTCTCTCTCTCTCTCTCTCTCTCGCTCGCTCTCTCTTGTATATGTATTTCCACCGGATGCCTTATTTTATTTCTAAACTGAATGTAACATGAATATTGTTTATAAATAGAGGTGCCAATCGAAAGCCTTTCAGCGTTTGTAAATAATATTTAATTGATGTTGATGATGTTTATATTATGCAACTGATTACATCTTTTTTCTTCTTTGCGTTTACCAGCTGTAAACTCTGGCGAAAAGTGATGGTTGTTTGTCCACTTTTTGACTGCAGCCACATTCCAGAACCTAAGTGTTGCGTGTGCATCCTTTTTACAGATCTGACTCATGTGTATGCAGGCTGCTGGTTCATGCAACTGATTAGACTTAAAACATTTTTGGATTATGTTTATTATAAACTTTTTAAAAAGGTCAATAATGTAAGTCTACTTAATGAAAGCAGATTCCAGCGTTCAGCGTTTGTGGTTAAGAATTATATGTAATAACTATGAAATGATGTACGAATTAATAACTGAATGCAAGGATTGGACTGGTAGGGCAGAATGTTAGGCGGTTCATTTGCTCTCTCTCTCTCTCTATATATATATATATATATATATATATATATATATATATATATATATATATATATATATATATATATATATATTCTGTAACATATTGTCTATATAACTACTAACTACTGTACATAACACTGTTTAGCAGGATCTAACTGTAATAATAATATTTACTTTTATATCTTCATCAAAGCATATTTAGTCTAAATCACCATTGTTCTAGTATTAGATTAACGAAACGATCCCTCTGTGAACTTATCACCGGCTTCCTTTGTTCTGTCACTTCAAAGGATTTCTTTATGAAACTAGTATTATTACACCCACTTATATGTTGTTGCGTGTATGCTATGTGGGTAAAAAGTGTGCCCGCTGTTGGATTCTCTCCAGCTGCGTTTGACAGCACACAAAAGCACATGTGTCCACAGACAGATCAAACGATCATCTCTTTCTAATGACATTTATTCCCTCAATGAAGTATTGATCCTCAACCAACTCACGTTAAATTACTACTATTACACCCACCTACATGGTCTTACCAGAAGTGCCGGTACTGAGGGCTTAGGCAACCTGAAAGCCCCCCCCCCCCCCCCCCCACCCTCACTCTATTGTGTCAAAGTTCTCAAAGTTATTTTTTATACATTTATTTTTCCACACATGCCATTCAGTATATTACTATTATCATTAATTAATTAACCACTTGAAAACTTCTGCCCACAGAAACATACATTCAAAACCGAACTTAATATAATCTTATATGGCTTAGGTCCTTTGAGAACACCACAAAATATGCAAGAGGGCTGAGCACCCTTGATGTTTTCTTTAAGTTGACGCTCTTAGTATGAACAGAATACTAATGTAGATAATGTGTGCCCGCTTTAAAGTGTTGTTCAAGTTAATTGCGTATCCTTTACAGGACTTTGCAGAACCAACCCCAGCTTTTTTTGGCTGTTGTGGTTTTCCTAGGCAAGTTTACGCCCAGTAGTTTGCCACTGCTTTCTAGACGGTCGGCTTCTTGATACCACTGTCGAAACCAACTCAAGGCGAGGCCTGTAGCCGGGATCGAACCAGGCACCCCAGCTTTACTAAGCCACAGATACCGACTTTGAGTGTACAACAGTTTAGAGTGCACACAGAAGCACATATGTCCGCATTCTGTTGACACATCAAACTATCCTTCTGCTTATTTTTCAACCTCCTTTCGCTTCTTAATGGAGCATAGGCCCTCAACCAACTCAACTCAGGTCACACGACACCCACTTATATGGTACTACGTGTGAACTACACGGATGAGTATGTCTGCTGTTAGATGTACACCAACTGCGTTTGACAACACACAAAAGCACATTTGTCCCCATTCTCTTGATCTCTGCCAGTGCAACATGTTCCCTCCTTTGATGCTGAGCACCCTGTGGAGCCCCAGCCACCGTCTGTTGTGTTCTCGTTGAAGGGGTTGAGTG